AATTCCACCAATGAGGGCTCCTGCTTACCCCTGTGGGGAGAATCGTGAATGCACAATGATAATGTCCTTTCTACAAACAAGGCCAGCAGTGAGGTGAATCGTGAGTCTTGGTGGGCTCCTTTGACAGCTCAGAACACCAAATGGGTTGTTTGTTTTGCCAGCCACCCAGATTGTAAGTATGGGTGGTGTCAAGAACATACAGGATTTGTTGTCAGTGAGGAAGCAGAGTAGATCTGAATCTGAAACAAGGGACAGTTCATAACCTTCTCTCTTCCCTCCTTCAGCAAAACACGGCACGTGAACATTCTGCTCTTTATGGGGTACATGACGAAGGACAATCTGGCGATTGTGACCCAATGGTGTGAGGGTAGCAGCCTCTACAAACACCTGCATGTCCAAGAGACCAAGTTCCAGATGTTCCAGTTGATTGACATTGCCCGGCAGACGGCTCAGGGAATGGAGTGAGTAGATGGCCTGATGACTACAAAGTCTGAGGTCCAAGCATCAACTTGTCCCTACATCAGGATTAGGAAAATCCTGTTAAGTGATTTCTGTGATATTTTGGCACAGCTGAAAATAAGCCTCTGGTATGGGAATGACACTTTCATGTTCCTTGTCCAAGCTGAGGCCGCTGTGTTGGAACTCAGATTCCGTTTTCAGCCACTGCCCTCGAAGTCCAGCCACCCAGCCTTACAGCTATGGGAGTGGGCATCAGATGTCACTTTTAGGATAATGCTTAAAGGTCATGCTCAGCGCCTCCATTACATACTACCCGTTTGTGTCTCTGTGCTTGACACATTTCTTTGTGAAAGGTGTTTATTCCTTCCATTCTTGGCTAGCCCAGAGCAGTGCTTCTGAAACTTTTCCTCTGAAGTACCTTATGTGGAGGAGCGTGTACTCCTCATACCACCACACAGCTGGGAGCTTAAGCTAAGCTGTGCTTGTAAGTGCTATAGAAAAGCTCATTTTCTACCTTACATTTTAGGAAATAACTAGCACAATTACTTTTTAGGAAAAAATTAAAATTATTATTCACATATCGTCAAATTCACCCCTTTAAAGTGTACAACTCAGTATGTGTGTTTTTTAAAAAATATATTCAGAGTTGTGCAACCATCATTATTAATTTTAGAATATTTTCAAGATATAACGAGATCTTTTGTGTCTGGCTGCTTTCACTGAGCATGTTTTTGAGAGGTTCATCCATATTATAGTATATATCAGTACTTCATTCCTTTCTGTGGCTGAATAATATTCCATTATATGGATATTTGCTGCATTTTATTTGTTAACCAGTTAAGGGGCATTTTGGTTGTGAGAATTACTTTTTGGTTAAAATAGATGCTTAAAGAGTCGCTCCATTTTGCTATAGTCTTTACTTCAGGGTAAGGCACGACGTGGCCCTGCCTGACCATCGCAGGGCCATCCCCGAACGTAGCTCCCCTGGGAGCCAGGCCTTCAGGTGGTTTGCTTCTTAGTAGTAGTTGGAAGCTGCTTTCTAGCCATGCCCCTTACACTGTTTTCCCTTCACAGCTACTTGCATGCAAAGAACATCATCCACAGAGACATGAAATCCAACAGTATCCTTTGGTGGTGGTTTGACTGCTCAGTTGTCAATTTAGGAAAACAGGGAGACTCTCATTTCAAAGTTATCTCAGCAAAAAGTGACCTTGGAAAGATTTCCACAAGAGTGAGATATGTGTTTGGGTTATGCGTGAAATAGGTTTAGTTTTTTTATTATGCTGTTTATTACCAAATTTAACTTGGGGGGGGGGGGGGCTTTTTTGGTCTTGTTTCCCCCCCCCTAGTTTGTGGATAGTGTGTATCTCGTCAGAACATAAATGAAGCCAAATGTAAGATTTTCAGAATTACTACTTATAATTGTGTTTTAAATGTACAGAAATAGTTTCCTTAGAGGTTATTAGAATCAATTCTATCCTTTCTAAGGTTTAATGTGCTTTTGTAGAAATAATGAATTAAGGCATTTTTCACACTTACAGACATGAAATGTAACAATTTCACATCTCCCTCCCTCTCCCACCTTTTCTCTTGGAAAGGAGTGTGACATTACAGCTGTAGTTCTGCTTCTTGGCCATGACAGGCATGACAGTTGTGTTGAGTTTCATTATGGGACATGGCTTATTTGGGGTACATGTATGAGGCATGGAATACTTTTTAGTGGTTTTGGGGGACCAATACATTATGCCATGAAAGCAGATACCAGACCTTAAGGTGGTGTGAATTACTGGGCATCAGCAGATCACAAGGCAGCCTTAAACTGCCTGACTACCCAGAAATGAGGTGAGTTTGGTTCTGATTTTGAAGTCATCAGGTGCTACCTGTTCTAATGAGAAATGTCTTAGGACATTCAGTATTTATTGAGTGATTTGCTATATTGTTATCCACGTGCCATTTGAGGGCAGAACGCTGGGAGAAACGAATGTAACAAATCAGCAGGTCATGCACAGCTCTGAGGCGCACCTGCAGCCTTAAGTCTTGCAGTTTCAGGCACCTACATTATGTGGGAAGGTCACAGGCCAGGGACCTGGCACCTAGATGTGTAAATGGGGAGAAGCAGCAGGGGCTAAACAGCCTTGTTTTGGGCTGGAGCCAAATAATTTTGCACTCCAAGCATTCTTTGCATGCCTCTTGGAAGAAGGGGCATTTCAAAAGTACTTTTTAAAACTTTGGAAACCCTAGCAAATCCAGTGCAGAGCAGGCTTGGGGGCAGATGGGAGGTGGAGAGATGCTGTGCTAGTAAGAACTTTGGTAAGTTTTTCAAAATTAACTTGACCAGTGTTTTGAAACCAGAGTCCTTAACAAGCATTGAGATATATTTCTCCATGAAGGCCTGACGGTAAAAATTGGAGATTTTGGTTTGGCAACAGTGAAGTCGCGCTGGAGTGGTTCTCAGCAGGTTGAACAACCCACCGGCTCTATCCTGTGGATGGTGAGGAGGCATGGCTTCACTAAGAGGGTACAGGGAAGAAGGGGTGCCTTGCAGGTCTGTGTGCAAAATTTAAAGCGTTTCTCCACATTTCCCCAAAGTCCAGGCCACCTCATTGACACTTTCTGTATCAGACAAGACAGCCTGGGGTGAATTTGGGTTTCCTGGAAGAAGCTGGTGATGAGAACCATGCTGAAGCATAGAGCTTGGAGGAGTTAGGTGAAAGGAAGTGCTAGATCCCAGAGACCAGGATTTGAGCTCAAATTAGCCAGCCCCTGAGGGTGTCAGGGGGGCCCTTTAGGGAAGAGCTATAGCGGACAGAGGACAGGACTCTCATACCCAATGGAAGGGATAGTTTGGCCCCGGGTGTGCTGGGTGCAGATGGTGAGGAATCCACTTTGTCCCTGTAGGCCCCCGAGGTGATCCGAATGCAGGATAATAACCCGTTCAGCTTCCAGTCCGATGTCTACTCCTATGGCATTGTGCTGTATGAGCTCATGACAGGGGAGCTCCCTTACTCCCACATCAACAACCGAGACCAGGTACGTGCATTGCCAATAAAGGGCCCAACTTTCTGTGGAAGCTCCTGGGCCTCCTGCCAGTCTGTGCAGCTGGAGAATTGGAAGTTGCTGCTTTCAGTGTTAATCACCCATTCACTCAACTGTTTTCTTTTCCTTAGATCATCTTCATGGTGGGCCGAGGGTATGCCTCCCCAGACCTTAGTAAGCTATACAAGAACTGCCCCAAAGCAATGAAGCGGCTTGTAGCTGACTGTGTGAAGAAAGTTAAGGAAGAGAGGCCTCTATTTCCTCAGGTAAGACTCAGCTCAAAGGTGCTGGACCTGATAAAACAAGCAGTTTTTCATGATGAGGAAGTATGATGGTGGGTTGTTTTTTGAAGCCATTTGTACACCGTAAGTGTCTATAGACGCAAGCTGGTCGACCTTTTTTAATTCAAAGTATCATGGCAGTTAACTGGTTAAACAGGGAAGGGCTGGTGTTCTCCACAAGATGTTACAGGTGGGGTGATAACAGCTTGTGTCTTTGGATTCCTAATTGAAAGCTGCTGCTGTGGAAACGCCAAGGCCCACACCATTTTGTGGCTCTGTTTCAGATCCTGTCTTCCATTGAGCTGCTCCAGCACTCTCTACCGAAAATCAACAGGAGCGCTTCTGAGCCATCCCTGCATCGGGCAGCCCACACCGAGGATATCAATGCCTGCACACTGACCACGTCCCCTAGACTGCCTGTCTTCTAGCTGACTTTGCACCTATACTCAGGCCACCAGGGGAGAAAGGGAAGTCAGCAGGCACCATCTTTCTGCTCCCTTTCTATGGGAGCAGAGTTTGTTTTCAGAGAAGCTGCTGCTAAGGACCTTCTAGACTACTCACAGGGCCTTACTTCATGTTGCCTTCTTTTCTACCCTTTCTGGTCCTGGGAGAAGGAAGCCATTTACAGTGCTGGTTTCTCCTGCTCCCTGCCTGCATCCTCCATGCTCATGAGCTGAGCCTTCTCCAGATTCACCAGTGGCTGCTGATGGCAATATATGATCTGGGACCCTGGCCATCGGCTAGACAAGTACTTTTAGGGCAAGAAAAAGCACTTGGAGGGAAAATGAAGGCAGGCAAACCAGCCATCTTGGGGGGACACGTGGATTTTGAGTATCAGCTCCTATGTGGAATGCTTATCACAGGAAGGACTTTTCTTCAGAGATAGTGGTGAGTGGTGTGGCGCCAAACAGGTAGTTTTGCACATAATGAATGCACCAAACAGCCCAGGACTGTCAAGACCATGGCCGCCTAAAGGAGTCTGCTTTGGTACTATGGAACTTGAGTTTGGGGACCTTCCTTTTTCATGGAGGTCTCCAATGCATTGGGATGGTTTTCCAGAAGAGGTGCCGGCCTACCCCTTCCAAGTCTCCGCTCTCTCAGGGAGCAGTCTTCCATCATGCTGAATTTTGTCTTCCAGGAGCTGCCCCTATGGGGTGGGGCCATTGGCCAGCCTTGTCTCTCAACAGTCATGTCATGTGTATGCAAGGAAGCCAGGAATACAGGTTTTCTTGATGATTTGGGTTTTAATTTTGTTTTTATTGCGCCTGACAAAATACAGTTATCTGATGGTTCCTCAATTATGTTATTTTAATAAAATAAATTAAATGTAGGCTTACTGGCTGTTTCTTCCTTTTAGAGTAATGTTAAGCTCACAGCTTGAACTCTCCATTTGTTCATCCCTTCTGGAACAGGACTCAAGAAGCACGAAATGGGCCCAGAGCCTCTGCTAGGAATGAATTTAATTCAGCCTTTGCCTGTGTTGTCACTAAAGAGTTAACTATAAAAATTATGATAAAGCACTCTAAACTCAGGTAAGAATAGACCTTTTTTTTTCTACCCACACTTTAATACATTTTACAAAATATTTGATATCTATAACTTTATAAAAATAGGTAAATTCAGGCTTAGAGTGAGTTTGTTCTGATTCACAAGATTATGCTCCTTCAATTTAAAATCACAACTGATGATAAAAAGACATGCTTAGGACCACTGATGGGTCTGGACCAGTTTTTTTACAGGTAAGACTGACAGGTTGGGCAGGCGGCACATAAAAAAGCACATGTGTACCACGCCCACAGGGGAGAGCTAAGGACATGTTTCCCTGGAGGCACATGTGCAAGGTTTCCTCCAATTGTGGCCACAACACTAACCAGAAATGAGGGGCTGTACTCCTGATCTATCACCTCGTACTTCCTGCTACTTCAAGAGCCCCCATTACAAGGAAGAAGGTTTATACTTTGCTTACTGACTATATAACAGTGAGACGCCTGCTCTGATCTGGGGGACTAAGGCGTGCAGTGCCCATTTTTTGTTTCTGGAAAAGCCCTGTATAGATCAGGTTTTGACCACACACTAAAGTACTATGGAAATTCACTATAAGGAATCATTTTTAGGGATGAAGAATCCTTTGGTAAGAAAAAGAAATCTGCATTAGGGGCAACTGCAAGTTGATGTAGTTTCTAGGGAGCTAAAGCTCATGAAGGATAGGAGCCAAGTTTGTTTTAAAAGCAATCAATCAAAACTCAGTCTGGCTGTTTAGCTGGTCCCCCCGAGGAGCTTGAGATGTAACTAAGATATCAGCTATAAAAGTAGTGATTCCATATACTTGTTAGGTTAACTTTACATCCTTCACTCTTCTCATGGCTGTAATAATAGAGAATGGATGAGAGCCCAGGTTAAATACAACCCCACTCAAATCCAAGCAACACACTACCTGGGGCTGCAGTAAAGGAAGCTCTGCACACCCTACTTGGGAAAGGCTCTGCTGGCGGAGCCCAAGATGCAGGGGCAACCATCTATCTTCAGGGTTCTGACGACTCCACTCCAGACAGGTGCATGAAGAGGTCCCCAAGCTCTGTCATGTCAACATCTTCAGTGTTGGGGACATGCTGGCTTTCTCGGTTCTCGATGAAATCCCAGAGGCGCACTGAATTGAAGAACTGCAAAAATTGCCAGAAAATATGCCTGGTTACTAAAAATGACAATATGGAGGCTGAATAGCTTATTTTTCTTTTGTCTATTTCTGGTTGCCCTAACTATTAGAGAAAAACTCAGGAGCAGTATCTAGAAATGCCCATAGTAAGTGTGCCTGACTAGAGATGGCAAAGTCCTTACCCTCACGGTGCCTTCAGAACTGAGCTGTTTCCGAGGTTTCTCAGGCTCTGCTAGCCGCCCATCAGGGTAAGCGTGGCGGTAAAGACATTTGCTTCCAAATGGGCAGGTCCCCTTGCCTTGCTCAAAGTACTTACACGCTTTTTTTCTGAAAAACAGAAGAAAAAATTCCAAGATGGTGAGAGAATCTAGGGCCTACAATGCTAGGATTGAGTCAACCTCATGTTACAGGGAGGGAAGCTGAAGTTCAGAGAGGTTGGGATGCTGATTTCCAAGCTGGATAATACTGGTATTCCCACTGTGACATACACCCTCAATACAGAACTTAACCTGCATGGGTACCCCACTGTTTTGTGCCTGCAGTGCTCCAAAAAGGCCACAGGAAATACAGACTTTATTATTCATTCCTCTGGACCAACTGTCATGGGCTCCAAGGTGCTGAGGCTGGGCTACCTGCCTCAGTTTAAGTCCCCAACAGGAGATCCACCCAGGGAACTTTGCTGTCCTCTGGGCCAGCAATGATAGGAGTCGTGTGTGTGTGTGTGTGTGTGTGTGTGTGTGTGTGTAAGGGAAGGAGTGAATTTTAGCAGCTGCCTAAAGTTACAGGTCTCATTACAATTTTCCTTGGTCCCCACCCTCTAGTGTTCTTTAAAATACACAAAATACAGGTATCAAAAGTTAATTTTTTTCCCTATCTTTGCCACAGACCCCTATGTTAAAACATTGCAGATGGATCATGGGAATGCTCGTGTTTTCTGTTCTAAGCCTTGTGGCCAATCACGAGAATTCTTTAAAAAGATATTAGCTTATAAGAACATGTAATAAGTAACGTCAAAATGCAATGGGTATTTAATTTTAAAGCGTGCCTTTAACATTCATGTGAAACGTTTTTTGTACTCGTTCAATAGAAGCTTATCTGGCCACTGGGTAAAGCTAGCAATAAAACGACTGGTCCGCAATGTGTTAAGAACCCCTGCTCCTGAGGGAAACCGCAATCAGAGAATTCCCATTTCTTGTTGCTCAAATGAAATTCTCACAATGATCCTAAGTTAAAGAAGAGGAAGAGAGCCCAATAACCCAGAGGGCTATATGGGGGTGCTGAGGAAGAGAACTTGCAGAATAAAGCCAAATCAGCGCAGAAAGTGTGGGCTGCTGCCAGGGGGCAGCCAGGGTATGTAATGGTGGCAGATGACAAGGGGGACTCCCTGACTCGTGTTTCTCAGCGCAAGACCAGTGGTGAAGGGCCCTTAGACCCTAACACCTCTTCACAGAGGGGAGGGAACTACCTTGCTTGCCTGGGCGCTACTCCCACCAGGCCTGATCCCAGGATAGGCGGCAGGGGAGTCGATTCAAGCAGAGGTGTGTGATGAACCAGACACCTTCCTTGGTCCCCTGCCCCTGAGGTTCTGAGATCTTGAAATGACTGCTCAAGCAGTGTGTTCTTACCAGAGTTAGTTGGACACAGGCTTTAATAAACTCATCTAATTCAAAACTATTCTCTAGTTCCTATTCACAAAATAACTGCTTTTCTTTCTCCAGCCTTTTCTGGTCACCAAGGACAAAAGCCTCCAGATCACTCTCACTCCCTTTGTTCTCAGCACTCATATTCAACTATTACTTCTGCTTAGAGAGCAACTCCCCAATATACCTGTCCTTTCAGTTCCCACACTGTTGAAGCCCTTAGGGGTGCCATCCTCTGGTATCTTCCTGTCAGTCAGTCATTTCTTAACTGGCCTCCCCTCCCACCAGGTTCCAACCTCTACCACAGAGGAGCATCTCCAAATAGTAGGTCACCTGTTTTTCCCCCCTTAGACTTGACTCTAGTCTAGTCTGTCCCCTATTAACCCTGTGGTAGTAGGTCCTCCCAAATCCTTCTACATACCTCTTTCAACCTCAGTGATTACTTCCACTGCTCCCCATCCTGCACCCATGTCATTCTGTGCACCCACCCCCAACCTTCTAACACAAACGGAGAGGCTATTCATACTTCAGGTGTCTCTGACACTCCTCTCCAGGTGCATCCTCTTGTGACATATGGCTTGGGCCTCTCATGAAGAATTTATCACCAGAAAACCTGTATCATAGTTGCCCTTTTGCAATTTTCCATGACATTATATTTACTAACCTATTCCATAGCCCCCACTGGTGTTACCTTGAAGGTGCCTGGTATGTAGTGGGTACTCAGTGTTTGTGGAATGCATAAAAACACTGATATCAATGGAAACTGAGGCCAGGAAAGATCCAAACAACAATAATGAGAATTTCTGAACAATTCCAGCAGACCTCCTTCCTACCCTCTGCCTTGCCACTCCTGCCCTCTGGTGGACACATGATAACATCACATGAGGAAAAAACCAAGCCTTTAGTAATTAATGTACAACTTAAAAAGGAACCTTTAGCCCTGGCCGGTTAGGCTCAGTGGACAGACCTGCGGACCCCAAAGGATCCTGGGTTCGATTCTAGTCACGGGCACATGCCTGGGTCCCAGGCTCGATCCCCACTAGGAGGCGTGCAGGAGGCAGCCGATCCATGATTCTCTCTCATTGATGTTTCTATCTCCCTCTCTCTTCCGCTCTGAAATCAATAAAAACATTAAAAAAAAAAAAAAAAGGAACCTATAGGTAACATAGTTTTGCTTTTAGTAAGCTTCTAGACCTGGCCCTCTTGCAGATATCTAGAAACAAACATTTTTAAAAACCCTGAAAGTACTGGAGGATGAACAGCAGCAGGAGGATTCTCTAAGAGATTAGACACCAAGAAGAAGGGCAAAGAGGTGAGTTATCTTTATAGAAAAAATAGCTTTTAGCCAAGAGCAGGCCACAATTGGGTGTGTCTATGAAGGGTGGCTAAAACTGCCATGGAAAAATCCAGTCCTTCTGGCCTGAAGAAACAAAAGATAACTGGAAGAAACCAGAAACAAAAAAATAAGGTAGAGAAAATATTTAGTAGCCAAACTTTTCTAAATTTGGTGAATGACAAAAACGTATAGATTCAGAGAACAACGAGCAGCATAATATGAAGAAAAGGACTCCTACATAAAATATATAACTGCTGAAACCCAGGGGAAAACATTGAAAGAAATCCTAGAGAAATAATATGATCTGAATTACCACTGACTTAGAAACTACAGGGGGCAATAAGCTCCTGAACACTGGTCTTGCCAGTAATCTTTTTGGATTTGGTACCAAAAGCAAAGGCAACAAAAGCAAAAAATAAACAAGTGGGGTTACCTCAAACTAAAAGCTTCTGCACAGCAAAGGAAACCAACAAAATGAAAAGGCAATATTTATAAATCATATCTGCTAAGGGTTATATCCAGAATATATAAAGAACAAATATAACTCAGCAGCAACAAGAACAATCCATTTAAAAATGGGCATAAAGGGGGGAAGGGATGAACCAAAGAACTTACATGCATATATGCATAACCCATGGATACAGACAATACAGTGTGGTGAAGGCCTGAGGGTGGAGGGAGGTGTATAGGAGCGGGATGGAGGGGACCAATGAGGACCAGCCAATCTGTGGTTCTCTCCCTTTCTAAAATTAAACAATAAATAAATAAAAAGTATTGTTTGTTTTAAAAAGAGAGAGATAGGAACATCAATGATGAGAGAGAACATTGATTGGCTGCCTCCTTCATGCCTATTTAGCCCCACACTGGGGATTGAGCCAGCAACCCACGCATGGACTCTGACCAGGAATCGAACTGTGACCTCCTGGTTCATAGGTAGATGCTCAACCACTGAGCCATACCGGCCAGGCTGTAATACTTTCAACAATAAAGACAAAACATTCTTGTTACTACTTAAAGTACTAGTCTAATTATGACTTTTTAAAAAATATATATTTTTTATTGATTTTTTACAGAGAGGAAGGGAGAGGGGCAGAGAGAAACATCGATGAGAGAGAAACATCGATCAGCTGCCTCCTGCACACCTCCTACTGGGAATGTGCCCGCAACCAAGGTACATGCCCTTGACCGAAATCGAACCTGGGACCCTTCAGTCCACAGGCTGACGCTCTATCCACTGAACCAAACCGGCTAGGGCTAATTATGACTTTTTAAAGATAGATAGATTTTTATAAGTGCTTTGCTCTTGGGGAGAGAAAAGCAATGTCCTATGTACTTTATTTTTTTATGAAGCCATTTCATTTATTAATGAAGTTAGATCAGAACATACAAGTGAAAATAAATATCTAATAAACATAGTTATATCTGACTTCATGAGGATATCATGAGTGAAATAAAGATTTTGGAGTCAACATGTAACTATGTACTTCTTTTTTGAAACTGCAACTAAAGTCATATTAACTTGGGGGAAAAAATAAAAATGGGCAGAGGAGCTAAATAGACATTTCCCCAAAGAAGACATACAAATGGCCAACAGGTCCATGAACAGATGCTTGCACATTGCTAATCAGCAAAATACAAATCAAAATCACAATAAGATATCACCTCACACCTGTTAGAAGAGACATCGGCCCTGGCAGGCATGGCTTAGTGGTCAGAGCATCAGCCTGCGGACTGAAGGATTGTGGGTTCGATTTCTGGTCAAGGGCCTATACCTGGGTTGCAGGTTTGTTTCCCAGCCCCAGTTGCATGTGTGTGGAAGGCAGCCAATCAATGTGTCTCTCTCACATCAATGTTTCACCCACCCCCACTTTACTCCCTCCCTTCAACTCTATTAAAAAAAAAATCAATGGAAAAAAATATGCTCCGGTGATATAATCACAAATAAAAAGTCAACCTCAGCTTAAAAACAAGTCCACTGCATCATGGCTTTGCTCATCTCTGCATCTGCAAAGCCTAGCATGATGCCTGAGAGAAGGAAGAGATTCTGAGTGGCCGCAGGCTCCCAAGACCACATTCTCAGGGGGAAAGGGGAGGCTCTGCAGGCGATGGCAAAGACCAAAACAAGAACCAAGGCAGACATCAGGATCATGCCCAAACCCAAAGCACTTACCCCATTCCTTGTTTGAAAGCTTCAATCAATTCGTTCTTCTTATTCTGATCTTCTACCCAATACACACTTGGAATGACAAACTCTGATATCACCCGGCATTCTGGACAAGATCTGAAATAAGAATCAGTTTAGTATGGAACAGATTAGGTTACAAATCCTGTGTACACTACACTCTAACCCCTTGCTCAAATGCATGACCATTCCAGATGTTTCCTAACCAACATATTTACTATTAAAAACATGTTTTTCTCAACAATGAAAAGACCAATTTTAAAGTGGGCAAAGGATTTGAGTAAGCATTTTGGAGAAATGCTGAGAAAGCAGAGAAAAAGATGCACAATATCCTTAGTTATCAGGGAAATGTAAAAGCCACAATAAAATTACTTCACACCTACTAGAATAGCTAAAATCAGAAATAAAGACAATAACAAGTATTAATGAGTATGTGGAGAAACTGGAATTCTCGTACATTGCTGGTAGAATGTAAAATGGGTCAGCCACTTTGGAAAATAGTCTGGCAGTTCTGAAAATGTTAAATATAGTTACCATATGACCCAACTACTCTACTAGGTATCTACCCAAGAAAAATGCTAAATATAGTTACCATATGACCCAACTACTCTACTAGGTATCTACCCAAGAAAAATGTTAAATATAGTTACCATATTACCCAACTACTTTACTTCTAGGTATCTACCCAAGAAAAATGAAAACATGTATCCATAAAAAAACTTGTATACAAATATTCATAGCAGCACCACTCACAATAACAAGAAGATGGAAACAACCCAATGCCCATCAACTGATGAATAGATAAACAAAATGTGGATATCCATACAAAGAGATATTTGGCCATAAAAAGGAATGAAGCACTGATACATGCTATAACATGGTTAAACTCTAAAAACACCATGCTAAGTGTAAGAGTTAGCCAGATACAAAAAGGCTAAATAGTAGAAGACTCCATTTATTTGAAATGTCTAGGATAGTTCCACAAGACAGAAAGTAAAGTAGTGGTTGCCAGGGCCTGGGAGTAGGGAGGGGATGGGCAATGACTACAAATAGAGGTTTCTTTTTGAGATAGTAAAATATTCTAAAACTAGATTGTAGTAATTAATGATTGTACAAACTCTGTGAATATACTATAAACACTAAGTTGTATACTTTGTCTCAATAAAGCTATTATTTTACCACACAAATGTGTGTAAATTTAGGCAAGTTATTTGAGCTCATACCTGTTTGCTCATCTGTAAAATGAGGAATATTGTAGGGTCTCTGAGAGAAGTATAAGTTAGTGTGTGAAGAATTTTTAAAACAGTCCACAGCATGCAGTGACTTCTCAATGAGTTAGCTCTCCCCCGCACCACTGTAGAATGTAAGAATCCTGTGTTGTTATATGTCAACTAGAGGCCCGGTGCACAAAAATTTGTGTACTCAGGGGGTCCCTCAGCCCGGCCTATGCCCTCTTGCAGTGTGGGACCCCTCGGAGGATGTCCACCCCAGTGGGGACCCTCACCCCATGGAGGTTTGGCCAGTCTGGGTGAGGGGCTGATGGCTGTTTTCAGGCTGGCCACCCCCCCGATTAGGGTGGGGGGCTCCCCACTGGGGTGCATGGCCAGTCTGGGTGAGGGGCTGAGGGCCATTTTCAGGCTGGCCAAGCACCCTGGCGACGTAAGCTCCCAGCCTCTCCTTTTTTTCTTTTATTTTTTTTATTCTGGGATTTATTTACCTTCTATAATTGCAACTTTGTTGCCTTTAGCGGAGGCTTGCGGAAAGCTTGGCTTCCTCCATCGCCAGGGGCAACCCACTCCTGCTCGCTCCAGCTCCGTGGCCACAGCTGGCTGAAAGCAGGTATCTGGGGTTTGTTTACCTTCTATAATTGAAACTTTGTTGCTTTGAGTGGAGCTCAGAGCCGGGCTGCAGTAGGCGGGGAACCTTGGCTTTCTCCATCACTAGAGCAAGCAAGCTTCCTGCTCACTCCAGCTCCGTGGCTGCCGGCCGCCATCTTGGTTGGGTTAATTTGCATATAGTCGCTCTGATTGGCTGGTGGAATGGCTTAAGGCATAGCGAAAGTACGGTCAACTTGCATGTTTGTCTTTTATTAGTATAGTATTATAGCTCAATACTGGCTTCATGGAGCACGTCATGTTTGTCAGACATGTTTTACATGCATTATTCCATTTAATCATCAAATAACCCTATTCTACAGATGGAAAAAATGAAGCTTAAAAAAGGCAATTGGGGGAAAAAAAAGGCAATTGGCCTAAGGGCAGCCCCCTGTAACTGTTAGTGCTGAGCTCAAACAGGCATTGCCATTAACCTCACACAGATGATCCCTGCTGCGTGTCCCTCCAATGCCCTGAAGCTTGGTGGGAATTGTTACCACATATCAAAGGAAAAGGCACGTGGGCTCAGGAAGGGTAGTGATGTGCCCAAGTTCACACACCCGGGGCCAGCACTCACAATTTATCCTCTGCATTGAAATGCCTTTGGAAGACATAGGAGGGCTTAAGAGTGGATGGAAGAAGATTCCAGATCAAACCCCCCCTGCTCCCCCCCCCCCCCCATTTCTACAGCTGAGACTCATTACTGTACTTACTTAATGATTGGGTTCTCGAACTGCTTGGCACACCTCCACTGTCGGATACAGGACAAGCAGTACGTGTGATTGCAGTTGGAGAGAATCCCAAATCTCCTCTCAGAGGCAGACGCCTTCTCGAGGATCACTTCCATGCAGATACTGCACATTTTGTCCTGACTTGCCTGGAAGGCGAAGGCCTTTTCCATCTCGTGTTCAAATGTTGACATGCAGATCTGAAGTACAGAGAGAGGAGGGAAACCTTAGGTTCTGGGCTGCTGAGTAGCGGGGAGAGCCAGGGGGCAGCTGCCAGCCACACCGCCACAATTGAGACCAGGAAGGAACACAGACTGGCTGTTTTATGCAGGGTACAGCAATCCCTGGATTCAGGATACAGCACTCTCAGAACACAAAAAGGACTTCAAGCTATCACTGGCCCAGCCCCTTGCTTTCCTAGCATGATATGGTCACTTCCAATTTAGAGCTGAGGCCATGGATGTCCCAAAGGTTAGAGCACCAGTGTGGGACCACAGAGTTCACAAGAACCGGGACCCTGGTCTCCTTGCTCCTCTGAACCAGCCTTCCCCACACCAATACCAGAAACGCTAAATAATCCTTAACTTGAAATATCAGGCTGGCAGTACAGAGTCAGAGGTAAGCAGCACCACTTCTCAAGAGAATAAATTACTTAATGAATTCATTTATTCAGTAAGCAGGTGACTTACAGTACTGTGTATCAGGCATTACAGTCTGAAAAGAGTACAAAGACCGAGGCTCTGCCCTTCGGTGCTCACAGTGGACACAGATGTGAGATAAATCAACGTGCACAGCACAAAGACCTCAGCACACCTGGGGAAGCTCTAATTCTGCACTCATTTGAACACCTCTGGGAAGACAATGGAGAGTGGCAGACACAACCTCCACATACAGGGAGCTCCTACTCAGGGGTTCTACACCACAGCTGTGGGCTCCTCCCCTTCTCTCTCACCCATCTTCAGAGCCCTGAACCAAGCACAGGGCACACTGTGAGGCAGTGCCTCCTACACTGGCACCTAATGACCCTTCCAACACTTGGCTCCTCAAATTCTATGATTTGGGCTCCTCAAATTTTTCAGAATTCAGCCTGGCTAGATTGTAGCCACAATGCTATGTAAACCTAGGGAGGAAGAGTGTGTATGTGTTATGTGTGTGACAGACACACACTAGGCTCCTGAGGCTAGATTTATTTTTCTGAACTTTGCATAGCTTTATGCTTCTGAGGTTTCTCCTTTTCCCTTTATTCTAAATAATCAAGAATTGTCAATTGACAATAGAAAAAGGACTTGAAAATAGGGTGTAAACATGCCAGGTACAAAATACAGGTATTATTGGCAGTCAGATGCTTGCAGAAATACCAACAATTTTGTCACATAGTGCATTTCAAATTTCTTAAAATGAGTTCATACAGTCTTGTAACTTTACCTTCTCATGAGCTTTCCTTTGCTCTGGGTCGAAGGGATGCAGGACTTGCAGCCTACAGATTTCACACATTTCCCCATGCAGGTAGACACAAGCATCCCCAAAGCGGCACTCCCCGGCGGCTGCATAGGGGCATAGCTGCTCCTCGCTGCTGTAGGAGCTGCTGGCTTCTAAGTAATCAAGGCCACTCCTTATTGCATCAAGGTAGGAATTCGGCTTCATCTCTGGGCTACTCTGGGCATCACTGCCTCCTGGATTACTCACCACACTTGGGCAAGCCTTTTCTTCATCCATGCCAGAGAGATCTTAATACAAAACACACAGCATACATATAAATGAAAACTGGCCCAGCCATTCTGGTAAGCAGCTAGTCAAAACCTAACAGATTAAACAACTCTGACCTTGGGAATTTCACTCTTGGAACATATAGGAAAAAACAGGCCAAGAGGGAAAAAATAAAAGGAACAGCATAAAATGTTCATAGTGACATTAACTTAAAAGCATAGTTAGCAACACAGGGAAACAGACCATGATGTATTTATACAAAAGAACACTAAAGTTGCTATTTAAAAATAGCAAGTATAGAAATGTCAACATTTGGACCAGTTAATATGAAAATATATGTATCAATGTGTGTGTGTGTGTCTCAAAAGGAATTTAGAATGTGGTCAATAGAATACAGTGTTTTCCTTTATACCAGTCAAGTTATGTATCATTTTAAAGTGAATTAGAAGTAATGAAAACCTGGAGTGAGTCTTAGGGTCCTGGGGTCAATGTGAAATTTGTCCTATGGCCTCCCCCTCTCACACCTGGAGCCCTTCCCTTCCCCTTACACACACTCTTGCCTTTTTAGAGGGGACATATTGAACTGGATCACTTATTTGTTTGCTTAGGATGGAATCTGCCTATCTTAAAATCACACAATTCTGAGATCTAGAAATCCCTTCACCAGATGAGGACCAGCCAACAAAAACAACTTTTATGATTTTTAGCTTTCTTCCTGCCCAAATCCTGTTCCAGGGTACAGACCACTCCCCAAATCCCAACATACTATTCTTATTACTAAAAGTGCAACCTAAAATGGCAAACACTGGCTCAGCATAAAAACTATGTACTGACCTAGAGGTAAAATAGTGATACATGCTCTTTATCAAAACATGTAGCTTTGAAATGAACAGTTTGGTGCTCCTCAGAACTGGGCAACAACCCTATGCAGACGGTAGTTACAACCTGACAAAAAAGTCACTGTTTATATTTTGCCAAACTCAGGGCCCAGCCCAGCCTTGGGCACAAGGCCAAATGCACCATCTGAATATTCTGCAGCCAAATGAAGCCCGTTCTCAGGACAGATCTGGTGACTGCATTCAGACAGTTGGAGGGGTATTAGGTTAGCAACTCTCTTGTCAAGAGAAGACCAGAAAGGAATATGAAAAACAAGACAAGACTGCTTTTCAAAAAGAGACAACAAAAGGATTCTGCTCACTCACTTCGGTCTCTAAGTACCAATGTTCTTTTCTCACGTTTCCCAGGCTCATGTAAGTTAGTTTTCACAATAGGTGCAGTGAGGTCGGAAGGAGGGTGAGGACTGTGGAAGCCCGGGGAGGGCACACTGTGGGGCATGGAGCCCACAGCACCACCAGCTGCAGCAGAGGGCCTTGTGTGATCATATCTAAACAAAACACACAGCAGATGCATTACAGACACACTACAAGCACATGTCTCCCACACTGCCCAGACGTAGAATGTCCTTCCTTCTGCTCCATTTGCAGAGGTGGAGAATGAAACAATCTCTCCCCATATTTTAACTGATAAAAGGATTATCAATTTAAAAAACTGCCTGGCAGTTCAGAGTGAGTAGAAAGTTCACTTGTGTCTTTGTAGGACATGAGTGGGGCAGACATATTGCCTCAGACCACAAAAAGAAACCCTGAAAATTCCAGACAGATGTTGAACTGAAATTTCCAATCCAGTGTTCTTTTGGGCAGGAGTCCCCACAATGTTAATAATGGCCAGTGTAACAGCTGGAGACCAGCCTTCCTGACTGTCTCTCTGGGGCACCACTGGCAGGGGTAGGGTAAGGTGGGCCAACTTCCATTATCACATAGGCAGCCAGAAGAAGGACTCAAGGGAGCTTTGCAACCCGGGAAAAAACAGAGCAGCTCTTCATTAGGAAAGGACAGGAACAGGTTTTTGGAGTATTTCCTCGTTTAAAAGTTACAAAGTTGCCTACATATGTCAGTGGTAAAAAGAAAACTCTATGCACATAATTGTTCATAGCAAAAAACTGGAAGCCATTTAAATTTCTAATGGAGTCACAGTTAATAAAATGGTCTGTTAACATTATGTAACATTATAAAATAGCAGCACAGAAAAATGCTTATGACATGTTAAGTAGGGGGGAAAAGCAAGATATAAAATTTTATATATACCATCAGTGCAATTTTGTAACTAGAGACTTATAAAAATAAGGCCTGAAAAGTGATTCTGAAAAAATTAATTCTGGGGTACTGAAATTGAGGTTTCAAAACTACTTGCCATACTTTTTGTAAAGTTGTCATATTACTTTTAAATTTAAAATTTCCCCTCAAGATCCATGTTCCAAATGAAGGATCTGAATCCCAGATAATATTTAACTCAGTATAACAATTGGGGTAGTGGCGGGGTTCTTGCCTGCAACGAGTTCCATAGGCACAGTAGCCCTTCTGATAGTACTTGCAGATGGTGGATGGCTTGCTGTTTGCCAAGTCATGTGAGAACAGGCATTGGTTTCCTTCCCGACACACACCATGCATAAAATACCTGAAGAGACAAGCAGAGGCATAAAACTTTTAGAAGCATACTTTGCAGTATAAAATCACCATATTTTATAACCTAGCATACAAATAACTCTTGTGCATATATTATGTTATCAAGACTATATTTGGCACTGGAGATATATTTCCTTGTTCCTAAGACATAGTGATTTTTAGATGTACCACAAGTAATTAAAGGAAGAAAAATGACCCCATAATTTTCCCTTTTTTTAAATATATTTTTTATTGATTTCAGAGAGGAAGGAAGAGGGAGAGATAGAAACATTAATGATGAGAGAGAATCATTGATTGGCTGCCTCCTGCAAGCCCCCCCACTGGGGATTGAGCCCACAATCCAGGCGTGTCCTTGACCAGAATCGAATCTGGGACCTTTCAGTTTGCAGGCCGATACTCTATCCACTGAGCCAAACCGGCTAGGGCCATAATTTTCTATTTTAAGATATATCTTCTTGATTTGAGTTACATGTGTAAAATATGCACCTCATACTTGAGGAAATACGGCTCCTTCTTTCTCATGGAGCTTACAGGGTATGGTTATAATGGAGTCAAAGAGACCTGGGCCCAAGATCCAGCCTGCCACCTATAAGCAAGTCACAAAATCAGCTTCCCTGGGCCTTGCTATCTTTATCTATAAAATGAAAGTCATACTACCCACTTTACTGGGTTGTGGTGAGCATCAAAAGATATATATATCCTATCCTACATAATAAAAGCCTAATATGCAAACTGACCAAACAACCAGTGGAACAACCAGTCGCTATGACGTGCACTGACCACCAAGGGGCAGACGCTCAATGCAGGACTGCCCGCAGCCCACAGACCCCAGGCCAGCCAAGGTGGGTGCCAGCGGGGGCCCCCTGATCACCCCGCCGGTCGCCCCACAGATGGGCCCTGATTGTCGGCCAGACCTAGGGACCCAACCCATGCCCAAATTTCATGCATCAGGCCTCTAGTATATATAATGCCTTCAGGGCCAGAATTAGACATCACAGTGGAATATATATGAATGTTCCACTGTGATATCTAATTCTGGCCCTGAAGGCATTTGTATTCTCTCCAGCCAGAGCAGAGAAACATGACTGAATACTCAGAGTGAACAGTAAAGAGACCCCAGAGAGGCACACCTGATATTAAGGTTAATAAGTCCTAAAGTAAAGACTATTTTAGATATACCCTATATAGGAAATAACTTTGTCAGCCAAAACACACATTAATACTCTTTGAAAGAAGACAAAATCCAAATGCTCAAAAACACAAATATTTGGCATCCAATCAAAAATTGACATGCCAAAAAGCAGGCAAAAATGCAACCCAAAACTAGGAGAAAAATTAGTCAGTAATAGGAATGACAGATGATGGAATCAGAGGACAAAGATTTTTTTTTATGAACAGCTATTATAAATATGCTCAATATGCTGAAGGATCCAAAGGAAAACATGACCGCTCAGTGGGGGGCGGGGCCTACGAGTGGGTGGCGCCAGGCCAGCCAAGTGAATGCCAGCAGGCAGAGGGAGGGGATGACAATCAGGGCGGTGGTGGCAACCGGTAGCTGCAGAGGGGCGATGGGGGGCGGGGCCAGAGCTGCCCCCTGGTGGTCAGTGCACTCCCACAGGGGGAGCGTCACTCAGCCACAAGGCGGGCTGACGGCTGGCCAGCAACAGTGGCAGTGGCGGAGCCTCTCCCGCCTCCGCAGCAATGCTAAGAACGTCCAACTGATGGCTTAGGTCCACTTCCCATGGGCCTAAGCCACAGTCGAACATGCCCCAAGGGCTCTTGGACTGCGAGAGGGCGCAGGCCAGGCTGAGGGACGCCCCCTACCCCCAAGTGTGCACCGGGCCTCTAGTATAATATAAAGAGAAATACATCAAAGAGCTGCTTTCAGACATGGACAAAAGGCAACATAATACTGGACCTTGAGAGAAGGGACACAGGGGAGGTGAGCCCGTTCAGTGTGGCTTACTGCCTGGAGGCATATTCTGGACCTTGGTGCAGGGAGGGGAACCCCAAGTAAAGCACAGCAATCTTGCCAAGGGGAAAAGACAGAGTTTGGAGTTCAAGGAAGGTGACCGAAGCTTTCTGAAGAGCCCATTAATCAGAATCATGCGTACATGATTAACTGACTCCTGATAGAGACTTACCAATAAACCAAAAGTTTCAGGCAAGAAACCGTATGAATGTAAGCAGTGTGGTAAAACTTTCAGTTCTCATCTAGGTTTCCAATCACATGAAAGAACTCACACTGGAGAGAAACCCTATGAATGTAAACAATGTGGTAAAACCTACAGAGAACAGTTACTTAAAAACACATAAAATAATTTATACTGGAGAGAAAACCTTAGAACGTAAAGAATGTGGGAAAGGCTTCAGATATTATCAAAGTTTTCCAACATATGAATCACAGTGGAGAGAAGCCATATAAATAAAAAATGTAATGAAGCATTTAGGTATCCCAGTGATCTTCAAAAACATAAAAGAAATCTCACTGGAGAGAAAACCTTTGAATATAAAAAAAGTGGTAAAGCCTACAGAGATCCCAGCTCCTTACAAACACATGAAATAACCCATATTGGAGAGAAACCCTATGAATGTAAGGAATGTGGGAAAACTTTCATTTATCACACAACTTTTCGAAGATATGTAACAATGCACATATAAAATTGCAGAATTGGGGAAAGGCTTTGGTTATCCCAGTTTCTTTTGAACACATGAAAGGACTTACTGCATAAAACCTCTTGAATATGAACTAGAATTGGCTCACACCATTACATGTGAAGACTCCCATGGAAAAGAAAGAGAAATGTAAGTAATATGAGAATGCCTAGTAGAAATTAATTCATGTATATACAGGGTCTGGCAAAAGTAGGTTTACAGTTGTTCATATGGAAAATAAAACAATAACTAATAAATAATAACAATAAACTGTTTCAAGTACTCACAACTGTAAACCTACTTCTGCCCCATCCTGTATATCACGCACTAGGAATATAAAAGACTACCAAAAAGGTCACTAGGAAAATCCAAATACCAAACTCTCCTTTTAAAATGGCCCCTTAACACAAAACAAATAAAACATTATAAAAAGATATTCAACCTAACTTCATATAAAAAATATACTTCAGTTCACCCATATACCTAACAGGCATCTAAATGGAGAGAAAATATTATTAAACACTTGAGGCCCGGTGCACAAATTTTGTGCACCAGGGGTGGGGTGGGGGGTACCCTCAGCCCCAGCCTGCACCCTCTCCAATCTGGACC